ATTGACTTTTGACAAGGCAAACAAGATAACATATAGACCTTTAACAGCCACTACAAGTCTACCAGAGGTTGAAATCTGAGAGTGATATATTTTGTATTAGCAGTCAGCACCCCAAAATTCAAAAGATTGACTATTGATAACTTTCTGACACAAAAAAGTTTTCCTATGAATCCTATCGTAATTAAGTCACGTACCAAAGGTCAAAAAGGCTAATAAAAGCATATAACTATTTATCCAGACGCTTTTGCAGTTGTTTATACTATAGTCTGAAGGCAAAAAAGTTCAAAAAGGAAAATAATTTGAAAACCGGCTCACCTGAGGCAAAAATAGCTTTCCCGATAAGTGAATTAAGCCATTCACAACGTCATATGTAGAGCAAGAAGCCGCTTCTCCATTTACTTTGTCGAACAGGGAAAAAGATAAACAATTTTATCTTTTTTAGAGGAAATACGAAAAAAATATATACCGAAAATCAAAAATATTTTCGTAAAAACCAGGAGGGGACCACATAGTTTTTCACTTTGTATCGCGGTATGTCAGTGGTAATTACCATGGGCAAAGGGGACCAGGTGACGTCACAAAGCTCAAAATCCGCCATGTTTGTTGCTTCACTTTCTGATCAGGAGCCGGTCCTCCAGGAATTATTATATAGCTCAGTGGTAGAAGCTCTGCTGACGCCACATGGTTCTAAATGGCCATGGTAGTTACCACTGACCAGACTCAAATCTGAGCCCGCTTCGAAAACATTTCCCTCCTGGATTTTTTAAAAAAAATTTATTTTGTGCGAAACCTCGTTGTTTTCGATATATTTTATTAACTATAATACGAAAAAAAATTATTTCAAGATGTATACAAGTCGTACACGTTGTTTTTACCAATACCAGGCCAAATAAGTATTATAACTTCAAAAAATATGGAAAAAAAGTCAACTAGCTCACCGGTAATTTTCATTTTTCCGAGTCATTGATTTATTCATGTTTAATATCTTACAATCCGCATGAATTTTGTATGTACAAAAAGTTAGGAAAAAATTATTCACCGAAAACCAAAAGTATTTTTTATCAAAAACCAGGAGGGAGATGACTCATTTTTTATCTTTGGATCGCGGTTTGTCAGCGGTAACTACCCAGGCCATGTAGGACCATGTGGCGTCAGCAAAGCCTAAAATCCGCCATCTTTTTGGCTTCATTTGATGATGACGAGCCGGTCTTCCAGGAATTATAATATAGCTCAGTGATCTAATCCCTTCCGATGACAAAACGATGTCGAGGCAGCTCGGCTGCTATGTGCCCCATATACATCCGTATTAATACCAGACGATTTAAGAACTTCCCGGGCCCACCTGGCCACTGTATCCTTCGAGTTAGAACGGTGTGGTTTAACATAGCTGATTAATAACTGCGCATGCTTATCCCTCAATTTTGCAGTCCTTTCGATATATTCGTCCAAATGTTGTACGACACATAATCCGGGGTCTTCATCGAAGGCGATCAGTTCGATAAGATCGATATGCTTACCACTCTTGGTTTGTTTCAACTTCTGCTGTATCGTGATCCGGTATCGGTCAGTCATTTTTTGCATGTATTTTATATCCATGCTATGCACAGTTTGGCACCTCTGGCCAGTCAATAAACACAACAACATTGTTAACTTCAAGCTAAGCTGTTTCAGTGATAACGCCGCGGGGATCCCTTCGTCCTTTAGATAATTCAAGACAACACTAACATCCCAAATCTCAGAGTATCTAGGTAGTGGCGGCATCAATTAAAATATTCCTTTCATTGTCCGGCTAACGAGAGGGTGATCCCCAAATGTCACTCCATTTTCCATTGGCAACATGGTTGATAAGGCAGAGCGAGCTGTATTAATCGCACTGTAACTTAATCCCGATGCATAAAGCGATCCCAAGAACTCAACAGCATGCATTACACCCGGACAAAACATATCCACCCGTTCATGATCACAATACGTTTCCCACTTGGTTAAATAGATAGAGTATTGTTTGGCCGTTCCTGTGTGCCAACAGGCCATAACTATATCCGTCGTACTGGAAGTAAGTCCATGTCGTTTTATCCTTTCCCTGATAATAGAACTACCAGTAGGTTTCGCTTCTGATGTAGTGGATGTTGTTCCGTGAGGTGGCTGGGTAAGGTCAGCAATCTGTCCGTTGCCTTTAGACGTACAGGTTCTCGCTCTCGCATTTGCATAGCCATAGGATACCAACCCTGAGTGGGCCAATCTGGAATCACAAACTCCTCGCGCCTTGCCTATTCTTATTTTGCTTAATAACACTAAATGGTGGAAATGCGTAAAAATTTAATGTTGATCAGTCCATGTTAAATGCATCAATCGCGACAGCATTCGGATCTGGTCTGTAGGACACATATTTTGGGAACTGGTGATTGATGCGCGAAGCAAACAGATCAATATCTGGGTGAAATCTAAGTTCATTCAATGCTTTGTTTAGACTACTAGTGTTTAGTTTCCATTCCGAGGCAGTCTGGTTACGTCTTGACTCAAAATCTGCAACCAGGTTTTGTTTTCCTGGAATGTGTACAACACTGATCCATATTCCTCTTGCAATGCACCATTCCCAAATTCTATGTCCTAAATTATTACAAACATCCGAATGGCTTGTGCCCATATCGTTGAGGACACTTATCGCGGTAGTATTGTCTGTCCTTATCCTGATATGGACTTGGGATCTGTCTTTTGCAAACGTCTTAAGACCCAAAAGAATGGCAAACATTTCCAAATAATTTATGTGATGTTCCGCCTCAATATGAGTCCAATTTACCCCGGAGGACACTCCATTACAGGTTGCCCCCCACCCTAGTTTTTAAGCATCAGTGGTAATTGTTAGGTCAGGTAAACCGTGGCTCAAAGGCTTAAAGGAAGTGAGTATACATTCCGGACCCACCAATATAAGTCTTTTCTCGCTTCAGTAGAGAATGTCATAATAGCATCAAAATTACCCTGATTTTGCTTCAAAGCTAGAGTTTTATCATGCTCAAGGTGTCTATAGTAAAGGGGTCCATAAAGGACTCCAGGGAAACTGGACACAATTTTCCCTATGATTTTGGCAGCATCCTTAATACTTAAGCATTGTTGTTTGAGCAGTTTTGTGCAATCTTTCTGCAGCTGGGAAGCTTTCTGAGGTGTTAATCTCGCAATCATAGTGACAGGGTTTAAAATAAACCCAAGAACCACAATTTCCTGGCTAGGTATCAAGCAGGATTTTGTTGGATGAACAATAAAGCCCACTTCATCTAATAATACTACTGTAATAATGATGCTTCGTTCTACAGGTAAACATGTTCGATAGACTAAAAGATTATAATTATGTTCCACATCAAAATGCTTGCAAACTGTTATAACATTATTAACGCATGTGTGGTGCTTCGTTCTACGATAAAACATGTTCCTTTTCTACAGCGAAGCGTGTGCAGTCTGATTTATATGATTATAAAATATCATTACGAAAAGAAACTCTGCAATGAAACTTTGAAGATGGAACAGCAACTTCTTTCCCAAGGCTACAACCGTATTATTGAGAAAGTGAAAATTATGCGTCAAGGCTTTTCGAAGGCAGTGATTTCTGGTAGCAGAAGTGGTAGTGGAAAGATTGTCTACGACAACTACGACGATCCACGAGATATTTGGGGTGGTTCAGCGAATACAACGCCTCTTTTGACTGGAATTGATAGTTCTTTGATAAATGATGGAAACTGTGAGGTGTTTTCATATCAACATGACTTAAGCTTATCAGAATGTGATGAAGACTTGCCAGGTACATTATTATAAACTATACATTATTATTGTATAAAGAATCTTATTTTATTTTATTAGTAAAGGGAAAAGTACAATTATAATAACTATAACTACTTTACGAGCAGGTACTGATTTCATTTTTACAGTTAATGAACCAAATGTTAACCAGGATCTATCAAATGATCAAGACCCTCTGCCTAAGACACCATCAACAGTCCTTAAATTAATCGATAACAAGAGAAAACACCTGGAACGAAATCTCTTAGCTGCGAAACGTGATGCCCTTTTCTTGGAGGAGTCAAAAAATGAGAAAAATTTCAGAAAGGAACTAACAGATGCAATCAAAGAATCAACTGTGTCAATGACTTAGGCTTTGCAAGGAATTAGTCAGTCAATGCTTCAGGTTAGTACAGTACTTGGCAAAAGTATTGAATTCATAGCTGGTTGTCCTTCTACACCTCAAAATGGTGGGTATCTTGCTAACAATCACAATGAAAGTCTACCATGGAAGCAGTATGATGGCTCCACCAAATTTGCAGCATCATTTTTCTACAGACTTCAACTTTACGCATAATACATAATATATTTAAGTAATATATAATACCATTGCGCGTTTTATACTTAACAATTATTGGATGAGGTTGAGTGTGATATCGAGAATTATCAAGCCGAAGTTTGCATTATATTATTCTCTACATATTTTCATAACATTCTGGCTTAGGGGCGGACCATTAGAAAAGTGATTTGGGGAGTGGGAAAAAAATTCGCGCATGGGCCAAGAAGCGGAAAAAATCGTACATTGCAGAGTTAAAAACAGCATTTTTAATACACAATAGATAAAGAATATTATGGAACAGCTTTGCAGCAGCCATTTATATGAACTAAATTATTCAAAAAGTACCCTAAAAGTACACAAATATCCCAATCCTGTATACCATCTGCAATATACTATAAACCATTCCTGATTGAGCCCAAAATATCCCTAATTGTCTTACATCACAACTTCCATCCCAAATTTCTTGTTTCTGGCCTAAAATATCCTTATTGTATCACACGTTTACATGTACAATATTATACCATATATACAGTATATTAAAACGCATTGATGCCTATCAATCCAAGCTTTGTCAAAACATCGTTAAAAAAAATTCCTGCAATGCCAAAGCAGCCAAAAAAAATGGTCTAATGGTCCGCCTCTTAATTATCAGTAATATTCTCGGCTTACGTACCTTATTATCACTACGAATATGTACTTTCAACATTGGCAACACTCTTTCAACTTCTAGTTTCCATTCCGCAGCGTCCACAGTCGACTCCAAAACTGAGTCTGGTTTACTGCTCTCTTCTTGATGCTACCTCAAAATAAGAAAAAACATTCCTAATTTGGCTCAATTTTCTTAGTTTAGTATTACAGGGTTTGGCAATAGACCTTTTCGGTAATTACGTCACAACATTTAAACATCACAACGCTTTAAATTTAGAACTACCTTAAATGAAATCAAGGGTACGTGGGAAGATGCAAAACATTCTCTTTCAACACATGCATGAAAAAGATTTTTTATTTTGGCCAATAAATGTGGAAATAAGCCATAACACGAGAACGAGGCTAAGGGGCCAAGATCGCGAGCCTCGTTCCCGCGTTATGGCTTATTTCCATATTCATTAGTCAAAATGAAAAATTATTTTTCATGCACGGGTTATAGAAGGATGTTTGCACCTTTGTACATAGATTGTGCGAGTATGAAACTTGAAATCAATATCTTATTTAAGGTGATTCTAGATTTAAAACGATGATGTGACGTAATTACCGAAAAGGTCTATTATTATGCCTATTATGTGGATACTTCCACGCGTAAATCGATACAAAGCAATATACTTATATAACTAGAAATGCATGCATGCAGCAACCCCTCGCCTCGGTTAAACGAAATTAGTTAAGCATAGGGATGGTAACATGATTGTTAGAAAATTTATGTGAGTTGGGAGTTTTGGAGGGTACTTGGTATGTGAGAAAAAGAAATTGAGAAAAGTATGGAAATATTTTTGTGCACGTGGAAGCACTGTACGACTGTACTCGTAGCAACTCGCAACGGCCGTATATTTTTAAAGAATCAAAGTTTACCCGAATGGTTTACCCTCATATTTTTGTGAAAAAATGGCCAAAATACGACAAGATTCTTACCTTTTTCTGGAAGTTAAGTTACTCATCAATAGTCAATGTTATAGTAAATTATTTTAATCATTAATTACCATGAAATATATAGAGATTACTTCATGGTTGGCGAGTGCGTACGATATTTTTGCACGAGTTGTGAAGGATCGCAATACGAACGAGTGAGCGCAGCGAACGAGTGAGTTTGCGATCCTTCGCAACGAGTGCATAATAAAAATCGTACAAACGAGCCAACCATGAAGTAATTTGTTTATTAAATGTGTATAGAGATCAATTTGACAACGACACGCTTTTAATATACAAAAACACAGCGAACAACAAAATCGAAGTTTTATGCATGAAAACATATTTATTACCGTTCAGTTTCTTTGTAATTTTGTTCAATTAACAATTAGACAACGAGGCGGAGTTGTCTATGAGCGAATAGTCAACGAGGCGACATTTTAGAACTGTCAAGTTTCAACTTTCAACTGTTTTCAACACGTCGTCTTGAATATCATCATATTATTTATCAAAGAAAATATTAGAGAAGAAATATTACAGTATTTATATAAATCACACCGTTATTTCACAACAAAGTCTCCGATGAACCAGCAGTTAAGAAGAATAATTGTTGTTTACGATCGAAACAGTGCAGCCATGGAAGCTGTACGACTGCGGTCCTCTCATCTCGATATTGGTTTCCTTTTGAATATTTTCGTTATTCAAACTCAAAGGAATCACTGTCAGAGTGGATGTTGTTGGAAGTGACACTTTGCTGGAAGTGGTTTCTAATGCTGCGACGATATTATGAGTGGATTGATCGGCGTCTCCAGATATAAAACGACTTAAAATATTTGACATATTTTCTTTTTGTTGGATGCTCTTGCGTTGTACGCCTGGATTGAAGTATCCGATTTATGTCCAGTGACTGCCTTGATGTGTCTAGCCTCTACGTTGCTGTCTGAAAGTACCGTGACTGATGTTGCTCGAACACAGTGGTTTGTTAGATGTGGGATTATTCCAGCTGCTTTAGATATGGTTTTCATCATGTTGGCAGACTGCATTCGCCAAGGGGACTATTGGAATACCAGATCTCGTCCTTGTCTGGCTGAAACTTGGTGGACATTTCTCGTGGACGTTGAAATAGGACCTGTTGCGTTGGATGTAAATGGCTCAAGAAGTTTTCAATGGTTTTCACTGGGCACCGTCGGGAATTGACCACTTCAAACATCTTCCCGTCTGATTCATCCGTGTTGTCGTTGAGGCCTCCTTGGTGATTTTTTGTTCCTAACAAGCGGTCGCGTCGAGATTCAAAATATCGTCGGCCTTGTGCTGTAGTGTGGAGAACAAGCATATCTTTCGTGAGCTTTCTCTGGTTTTCTCTCCCTTGTTTACCAACGTAAAACGTAACGTAGAACCAAGCCGTTTGTAAAAGCTTCCGAGGGTTCTTGGAGTCATAGTCGGTAAGTTCGCCGCTTTCGTACAGCTTTTGTAGTTGCTCGCTTGTTATCGGATGCTTGTGGATAACTGGACCGACTTTGCCCTCTCGAGTGAGTTTCTTGCAGATAGCATTTAGTGTTTTATTAGCTTGTTCAAACACAGGGTCGCCGATAATGGACCAGGGTTTGTTTTGAGGCGGTTGTTTTAGATAGCGGTCGATGGCAGATCTTATTGCACGAAGGGTTGAAACTTTAAACTCACTCCCGTCTTGTTTTCTTGCAGCGGCATAAAATTTTTTCAGACAGAGAGAAAGCTCGACTTTTTCCATTTCTTCAATTTGTGTACAAAATTCTTGTTGGCTTGCAAACCATTCTGAAATTTATTTCGTATATTAAAGGGAAGAAAATATTTTAATTGTTGTTCGCGTAAAATGTATTAAAATTCAGTTTAAATATAAAAATTCAATTGAGTATACGTTATTTTTATGTATTTTCTTACCCTTAAAAATTGCAATTCCGTATTTTGTTGCTTTTTTTGTTTTTTCTGGTACGGAATTGTCCAACAAGTCGTCCAAAAAATCTTCAGATACTTCGGCGAAACGCGAATTTTCCGCCATTGTTTTGAATTTTGCTACTAGTAGGCTATCACTAATAGCCTACTAGTAGCGTAGCCAATCAGAACGCAGGAAAAGTGATAGCCTATTAGTAAGTTTATACTAATAGAAGTTAGACATTCTTTCCGAAAGATTTGAGATGTGCTGAATGTAAAAATATCTTGAATATGAGAATTATGTTTTGAATCTCACTCCTATACTTCGACGCCATCTTGAAAGAAAATGTAAATAAATTGCCGCCAAAATGACATACGACAATTTTTCAGTGTGAAGAATATCGTACGTCCAATCAAAAGCCGTGAAAAACATCGTACGTCCAATCAAATTGCATGAAATTAATTTACACAGTGAAATACGATTTTTATTTCATCATTCTGCTGTGCATAAATAGAGATTACTTCATGGTTGGCGAGTGCGTACGATTTTTATGCACGAGTTGTGAAGGATCGCAATACGAACGAGTGAGCGCAGCGAACGAGTGATTTGCGATCCTTCGCAACGAGTGCATAATAAAAATCGTACAAACGAGCCAACTATGAAGTAATCTCTATTTATGTATAGAGATCATTTCGACAACGACACGCTTTTAATATACAAAAACACAGCGAGCAACAAAATCGAAGCTTTATCCATCAAAACATATTTATTACCGTTCAGTTTCTTTGTAATTTTGTTCAATAGAAGTTAGATATTCTTTCCGAAAGATTTGAGAATGTGCTGAATGTAAAAATATCTTGAATATGAGAATTATGTTTTGAATTTCACTCCTATATTTCGACGCCATCTTGAAAGAAAATGTAAACAAATTGCCGCCAAAATGACATACGACAATTTTTCACGTGTGAAGAATATCGTACGTCCAATCAAAAGCCGTATATGGCATTTTTTCACACGTGAAAAACATCTTACGTCCAATGAAATTGCATGAAATTAATTTACACAGTGAGATACGATTTTTATTTCATCATTCTGCTGTGCATAAATCTCTATACACATATAATAAACCATCATACGTCTCATACAACTTCCGAAGTTTTATGTTACGCCTCGACTGGTTTTTGCACGGGAATGTTTTGATTTTCTTTTCTTTCTGTCATTATGAAAACGGAGTTTATAAATGAAATTATAAAGTCGTATATCACATAATACATTCAGATTTATAGTGAAATACATTCGAGAATATTAAAGTTGTGTTTACCAGAAAAGAATTACTTTTTAAAGCTGTGCCGGATGAAATACTATCAAGCAGGGCGCTTATATATAGGGCGGCGCAACGCGCTGATGTCGCGCTGATCGACGTGTGATGCGGAAATAGACTGGCACTAGCAGGGTTTTTGAAGAATTCGAAATTTTTTGATAATTTTCCCTGATGTTTTATATCGCCGATATTTTATTGAAAAATTCCTTGTTATAGTTTGTAATTATTTCGTAAACTATAAAATGATGCCAACGAACTTTCTGGATGTTATTTTGTGTTTGAAATGCGGTTAATTATGGAGATATTAGCGGAAACAGCATGGTGTTGTGATGGCTTTAATGGAATGAAATTTTGAAATTGGGAGCTTAGCTAAATTCCTAAAGTCTTAACCATAATTTTACGGTAAGTAAAAAGCTTTTTATATTATGTTTATATCATGAAAATTTAAAAAAAAATCGAAGTTGGTAATTTACTGGTAAATGATGCCTGAATATGACCTTTTTAAGCTCAGCTTTTCGTTAGGATATTGTTTATTTTTTTGTTGATCAAAAATGCAAAGTGACGAAAGTATGGCATCACATTATTCCTTGTATTTGCCTTAAAGTATACCCAAAATCCAAGTGCCATGCCAATGAATTGGATGAAGTTGTTTGATCACTTTGACTATTCACCTCATGCTTGTTGAATACGGCGAATTGTAAATACGTGGGGCGTTTTTTGTGCTGGATAATTTCTTAACCTTAATTCCGTTGTTTTATGTTGTAATGAGTTTTTGTGATCGATAATTTGTCAAAACAACACGAATCAAAGTTGATAATTCAATAGAATTTTGGCCTTAAAGATAGGCTGGTAGATAAAAACACGTTCTTCTAAATCGAACATATACAGCTAAAACCGATTGTCATGGAGATGCAAAGTACGTTGCGTATGGTTGCGTGTACTAGTTGGCGTCAGATTTTATTAGGCTGAATCAGTGAAATGAATATAACTGGAACGCAGCCTTCTGACAGGAAGTTGAAGCTAAGTCACAGTATGAATATATAAATATATATATATACATGTATATATATATATATATATATATATATATATATATATATATATATATATATATATATATATATATATATATATATATATATATATGTATACATATTCAAAATTTAGTTTGTTTGTAATAGACAAGAAGGGTGCTCAATACCAAAAAAGAGCAGAGCAGAAATTCTTTAATTCTTTAATTCAAAATATGCTGTATATTATCAATTGTATCTATTAGTCTATAGTAGCGTGAAATTCTAGTAGAAGTCTTGGACCTGTAAAGGAAATTGTATGCATTTCATTTAGGACAGATTATATCTACTGTTTTAGGGTAAAATGACCATGTGCCAAAATCTGAATCCTGGACGAAAGTCCTGAAAATGACCACACCTAGAAACAGCATAGTCGAGATAGCTATAAATCCTGAATTATCAAAGCCACAGGGGCCCACAGTCTTTCGAATTGTTTATATGGTTCAGAATCGTTGCTTTTAGGTGTGCTTGAATCTTTTCCACTTGAATTTCACTCAAGTTAATCGAGGAGAGGTTTTTTACTTATTTTACTTGTTTTTTACTTACCGTATTAAAAGTAAAACACTGATATCTCGGGGAATATTGTATCAAAATACGCATGGTATATACCAAATTTTAAGTTAGACATTCACGAATCTAAAGAAAGTTATTTCAGTGTAACAGACGTTTTAGTTTTGAAGTTATACTCAATCAAACAGGTTAACCTTTTTTTGCGCCACCCGGTAAATATAATATTAACTAATTTTTTAATCTCAAAATAAAGCCGTTGCTACACGGTGTTTCACGCTAAGCGAAAAAAGCAAAGCGATCATCGGGCGACTAAAGAAAAATTCAATACTCGAGGCATAACCACATCGTGAAGCTCCAGGAGATCTTGGGGTGGGTCGTTTCAAGATTGACCATTTCACACACACTTTTCTTCCGCTTCTTCTCAGTTTCCAGACATACTTAGAAAGTTCCGTTTCAGTTGCGTACAGTTCGTTTTTAACTGACTTCTTATGGTTTCTGTAGCGTTCCTTAAAAGAAGTAGTCGTCATTCCGATGTACTCTTTAGCGTCATTGTCATCGTCTGTAGTAACTGTAGCTTTGTACACGATGTTTTTTCCGTTGCAGTTTCCTTTTAATGGACATTCGGACTTGATTTGGCAACAGGCAACTTGCATGTTAGCGAAGCATCATGGGAAAAGTGGTAACCTTCACTTGCGCGCGAAATGGCCGTCGAGGAGCGAGCATTTGGCGTGTGAGAAATATCGCTTATTTTTAACACTTTTTTCATAGCGTTGGAAAATTTTAAAACTAGGGATATCTTTACGATGCTATAAAAGTGCTTTATATTAACTATTTACAGCCTATTGTTTAAATAAAAACCTACTTGTTTATTTTAACAGAAAATAAACCGACCACAACAAAGGAAGCAAAAAAATCGACGACAACAGAGCCAAAATGTTTTATCTTTGGCGTTTTTACGATTTAACGGAGTCAGGGCAGAAAAAACCGGTTTGAACTGCTTTTAGTTCGCGCCAAAACGTTTCAAGGTCCTTTAAAAACATCGTGTTTGAGCGCCATGCTGATCGAACGATCGGCAGACATTTTTCAACGAGTTTAGTGGATTTCAACAAGCGAAAAAATACCGAGAAAACACTCGATCGTTGTCAAAATACAAAATACACATCGAGAAACAAAACGCACATATTTGTAGGTCAAAATGACGAGTGATCCGATGTTCACTAAGCGTACTCACCTTGAAATGTTCGGAAGAATCTTCCTCTCGGAATGTATTTATGACCACATCGTCCCTTCCACGGTACTTCTACTGTAGTTTTCTTACCCAATTTTAGTTTGATTTCGCTGTACTTATGCCAAAACAAACTTTATAGCATCGTAAAGATATCCCTAGTTTTAAAATTTTCAAACGCTATGAAAAAAGTGTTAAAAATAAGCGATATTTCTCACACGCCAAATGCTCGCTCCTCGACGGCCATTTCGCGCGCAAGTGAAGGTTACCACTTTTCCCATGATGCTTCGCTAACATGCAAGTTGCCTGTTGCCAAATCAAGTCCGAATGTCCATTAAAAGGAAACTGCAACGGAAAAAACATCGTGTACAAAGCTACAGTTACTACAGACGATGACAATGACGCTAAAGAGTACATCGGAATGACGACTACTTCTTTTAAAGAACGCTACAGAAACCATAAGAAGTCAATTAAAAACGAACTGTACGCAACTGAAACGGAACTTTCTAAGTATGTCTGGAAACTGAGAAGAAGCGGAAGAAAAGTGTGTGTGAAATGGTCAATCTTGAAACGACCCACCCCAAGATCTCCTGGAGCTTCACGATGTGGTTATGCCTCGAGTATTGAATTTTTCTTTAGTCGCCCGATGATCGCTTTGCTTTTTTCGCTTAGCGTGAAACACCGTGTAGCAACGGCTTTATTTTGAGATTAAAAAATTAGTTAATATTATATTTACCGGGTGGCGCAAAAAAAAGGTTAACCTGTTTGATTGAGTATAACTTCAAAACTAAACGTCTGTTACACTGAAATAACTTTCTTTAGATTCGTGAATGTCTAACTTAAAATTTGGTATATACCATGCGTATTTTGATACAATATTCCCCGAGATATCAGTGTTTTACTTTTAATGCGTATTTTATAAGTAAAAAACCTCCCCTCGATTAACTTGAGTGAAATTCAAGTGGAAAAGATTCAAGCACACCTAAAAGCAACGATTCTGAACCATATAAACAATTCGAAAGACTGTGGGCCCCTGTGGCTTTGATAATTCAGGATTTATAGCTCTCGACTATGCTGTTTCTAGGTGTGGTCATTTTCAGGACTTTCGTCCAGGATTCAGATTTTGGCACATGGTCATTTTACCCTAAAACAGTAGATATAATCTGTCCTAAATGAAATGCATACAATTTCCTTTACAGGTCCAAGACTTCTACTAGAATTTCACGCTACTATAGACTAATAGATACAATTGATAACTTACAGCATATTAATATTAACTCAAAGACTCCAACTCTTTCTCGCTCTCTTTGGGGCAGTTAAAAAAACCGTATGAAAAGGCATATTTTGTCACTGACTAGGACTTTTTAGTGTTTTTTTTTACGAAACATAAGACTGGGGTTGGGTAAAACTTTTTTAGCTATGCCGAGGTTGAGTGAAAAAAATAATTGCACTAATTGCAAGGGTCCCTAATCTTGTTGTTGTTGTTGTTGGTGTTGCTGCAAGTGCCGTTGTTAGGGGGTGACGCTCTTTGAAAAAACCCTAAGGCTCTGGCATTACTTGACCGATTAGGATGAAACTAGACACAACTATTCTTAGCAATATTCTGCATCGATTGACGGTGTTGGATTTCTAATTTTTGACTTTTAAAGCAGGTATTTTTGACTTTTAAAGCAGGTAAGCAGCAATTTTAACGGTATTCGTAGCAAATATTATATGCATAGCACTACAATATCCAACAAATACAATGGGTCTCACAAAACTATTGAAATGAAGTATTGTTGGAAATTTAATTTAATTTAAATGGTTAAATTAAATAGTTGAATCGGTGAAAACATGTTTGAAAGCTCGACGGAAAAGACACACGAAGGCAAAGAAGCCACAAAAGTGGGAGTGCTGGAATACACTTTGCTAATCGACTTTGGATTATACCAATAGTGCGGGAGATCTACATATATTGAAGAATTTACGGTCCGATTAAGATCTCGCAGACTGTTTTTAAGACATATTCATCCCCCCTCCTCGCTATGATAAATAAATGTACAAAGTTTGACAACATTTAGGTAATCGGCATCATAATGGAATATAGACCTATTCGAAAAAGAGTAAGAGACACGGGTGGATCCAGCACTAGTGCATAAATTTGCATGACAAAACAAAGTAGTTATTTTTAGCAGTTTTCTTGTGCCATGTAATTTAGTGCACTAGTGCTGGGTCCACCCGTGGCAAGAGACCTGTAGCGAGTTACCCAAAAACGGGTTTGCCAGGTTTTCTTCGGCTAAAATAAGTCCAATTTATTTACTTATTTCTGGATTTTGATTAAAAGAAACATCGTTTTTGTCGGGCTGACAGGTCCGGCAAAAAATGAAAGTAAACATGATTTTGAAATTCCGAAAATGATAATCTGACTAGCTTCGCTTTCGTGTACCTCGCCACAGGCCTCTTACTCTTTTTCGAATTGATCTATGTAATGAATAATTTGCAATATTGGTTTGAAACTTTGTAATTCGGCTACTACACTCGGTAACAATTGATTGTGTTATGACGCGAAATGGCTGCGTGGCTAGAGGAAATATCTACCTCATTTCATTTGGCCCATGCCAAATGCGAAATTATCGGGTGGCGTAACTCTGTACTACATAATACGACTGTATAATACGGTATTTTTCTCAAGATCCCAAAAATATAAAATGCTTGAAATGCTAGAAATATATAATTTTATGCAACTTACACTTGATTGGTTTTTGAGTGCTTCTAAGTCCATATATACCTCATCTTCTTCTGTCTCTTCTTCCTCTTCCTGTATAAATAACGGGCAACAATGAAAAAATCCCAAAACATGCATGCACCTACCAATAAATAATAATTGACCTGTCAACAAAATTACATAACTACCACTGCTGTATTTCATTAGTCTTTTTTAGCGCGAAGAGTATTTGTAATAGTCGACCTCGTTTTGAATAGTAAACAAAAACTGAAATATATGTAGAAGCCCGCTTGCACAAAAAAAGCTGCAATATGCAATGCATATTACTATTATAGTACATACTACCATCTCCTCTTCAACTTTATTGACCGTCACTTCGGCATCGTCATCTCCAATCGCTTCCTCGTCCATCTCTTCCTCAGGAATTACTGGCCTAGGGTAGCAAGATATTTCCATTAAAGATCACGGATAGATGTTTGATATACATCTTTGTACGGTTACGACTTTCAGTGTATACTACCCTGTCGAGGTCTTTTGACATCAAGAGACTAGCTTACGCATACAACAACACACAATGAAGCACAACTGAATAATTATAAAGATATGTCAAAAAGTTCTGGGGCCGGTTGTTCGAAAGATGGATAACTTATTCAACAGATAAGTCCTAGCGATCGGATAAATCTGCTATCCAGTGGAAAGCTACCCATTAGATAAAAACGCGTCGCACGAAGCATGGATAGTGGAATAGATCCAATAGATAAGTTAAAATTTACCCGAAGAAAAAGGATTTTCCTGAAATTTCGTACCACAACGTCAGCTGTTGCTAAGCATTTGACATTGAATTCATAATCATTATGTGATACTGGAAAGACTTGTAGAATTTGCTTGATATCTAAGACCCCGTTTACACTAGAACGAAAGTTTCCGGATTTGTAAATTTATCCGGATTCATTGTTACACACATGTATCGGATTCGTCAGGTGTTAACACTACACTTTAGTTGTCTCTGTATGCGGATTTGTCCTTTTACACTCACATTACTTCGGATTCGTCGTGCAAAGCGTTTACACAAGAAAATTTTCCGGATTCAAATGTTTCTGGATACGAAGTTTCCACAAACTTTTATGGATTCAAAGTTTCCGGATACGGCTTAAAACCGAGTACATTTTCTATCGGATTCGTTGCTGCGTGTGTAAACAGCAACATGAATCCGGTACTAAAACATTCCGCTTTCGTGATGAATCCGGAAACTTTCGCTCTAGTGTAAACGGGGTCTAAATGTTTCCTTTATCGATTTTCAACACATTACCGCCTGTTATCATTGTGAGGATGTCCAGAAAAACGCCGCTCGCAACGGAATGTGTAGGCATGGTGAAACGCTGCTGCGACAAATATAACAATGGCTGCATTGCACTTCGAAAAAATTTTTAATAGTGAGTACAATCGTGCACATTAGTTTGTTGAAGACAGTAACAGGAATATTACATTTTTTCCTGATATAGGAGCTTTTTTTTCGTAAATGTTCACAGTATCTTGTATCTTCGAATTTATCGACTGGATAGTGGATTTAAACAGATGTATATACAAGATAGGGCGGTGAAAAGGCAATATAATCCCAGGGGCCGGTTGTTCGAAAGGCGATTAGGAAAGGAGTTGCTCGCTTTTGTCTTTTGAAAAGTTTGGAGTGGATCAGCTGCGAAATACTGGAAAATATTTATTCATTGTTAATGACGTTATATTGAAATTTTTCATTGTTTTGCATCGAGTGCATGCATGGTTGAAGAATTTGTTGCCCAGACTGGCATTAGTAAGGATGTTGTTGTCCATTAGTTGCAATATCTGTCTTGCAGTGAGCATATTCGGACAGAGTGGGAAAAGCCATAGGCCTTCTATCTGGTAAAGTCAAAAACAAATCATCCCGGAGCAACAGCCTTTCAAAATTCAAAAACGAAGTAAAAGTTTAGAGGACGAGCTTATTTCAGGGAAAAAAGATCGATACACTATGGATTGACTAGATCTCATGTTATATAAACAATTGCTTCTTATTATATGACTTTATGGAACTATTTCTATAACACATGATTAGAATACATCAAAGAATATATGCCATATCGGGATCAAACTAACATTCAATGTTTCAATGTGGTAAGTACTTACTAATATGCATTTCATAACACATACAATAATTTAAAAGCATATTTACACTCCTTATATATTTAGTATTTGCTTCTGAAAACTTGTTAAAACTTTAGTTAACTTATGCTGATTTCCCTTGTATCTTGTGAACCCGTCTTGTAGTGGCTCATTAAGTTGGTCGCCTGGTTATAGAACTCTGAAGCTTGTGCAGCTAAGACCAGTTTACACCATGGTTTGAACAAGCCATAAATAGCTTGAAAGTATTATTTGACATTGTCGTGTGTGTTCCAGCTAGTATATGCGCTATATATCAATATAGCACTCCACTAGATCAAATGCGCTATTTTCATTTCTTCTTCGTAGCAATTCACAATCCCCTTCAAAGTATGACATTGTTTCTTCTAATTCATACACATTGGTCTGCTGCTTTCCAGGTGCTTTTGCAGTTTGAAAACTACTGTACCCATTGATGTTGTAAGCAGTAAGCATATACATAGACATTCGTGTTTTGCAGTTTTATAAAATTATATACTTGCACCTACCATGAAGTCAAACATGGTTTGCCATGACGTTTTTTTACCCGAGCATATTCTTTAAATATGACTTTCCTTGTGCCTAAAACCAAGACGTCTTCCAAGAGATTATTCAAGGATTATAATAGCTGTTGTATACCATATCCATCTGATGCTGATTGCGTCTTTGCTTGTTCAGCTTTATTTTTTGAAATAAACACCAGAAGCTCTTTCATTGTCATCGGCATGTATTTCATCAGCTACTTTGGACGACAGGGTTTGCACCGCTAATTTCACTCTTATTTTGCTTAAATTATCGAAGTTGATGTGTGAAGAACGAAGGTCCGTGAAATATAGGCTCCTGGTCTTTTTTCGATTGTAAACATCACTTATGTGCTCCCACAGGATATCTTTGCCACTATTTATCATCTTCCTTGTGAACGTTTTATATTTTTCTTTGGACACACTATTAAACCGGTTGTTTCTCAATTTTTTTCATAAGGTGCGGTGGGTCCGACATAAAAAAAGTTGCCGTGTAAATGGATTAAAGCATTCAGAGTGAAATTGATTATTGGTGTTCATTGTGGAAAAAGTGGTATTAGTTGATGCACCATCACAGCATACTAAAATGATTTCAAATCCATAGCTGTGTAGTAGACTAACACCAAGCCAGAACATACGATTGATCTGGACAGCTGTTGCTCCTTTTAGTAGTAGTAGTAGTAGTTTTTTAAAAAAAAACATCTCGCAGTCTTGAGACTGAATTGGATGCATGTGTTGGATACAAAATTTAGAATATAGTATATAGAACGACTTTTTAAAGTTTTGTTTGGCACAGGCATAAGCAAGGAAGGGCATTGCTTTGTGGGAAAAGTCATAAGTTTGTAGTTTAACATTATTGTCATAAGCATACCGTTTCGGCACTTTGCTTTTAACCCATATTATCTGTAATAACCCAAGTTGACAGCATGTCAGCAGAAGCAGTTCTGTCGACGCTTCGACCTAAGGGCCTTTGTCAGGAGAGTTAGTATCATGTTAACTACAATATCTCTGACGAAGGCGGGAAGTGTTTTTGTCTTTTTTATGCGGTTGTTAGAACCACATTTGACGGAGTTTTGTTATTTATCAATCTTATGTCATCTAAAATAGGATTATACAAAGAATTTATTTTCCTTTTTAATTCGCTATTTCGCAATTACATATACAAAGATTTCGCAACTTCCTTTTTTCCGTGACGTCGTGTTGTTCACGTATAGCAAAAAAGGTTCAAAAATTTACGAAACAATATTTTTAAACGGAGAGATATATTAATGAAGTATTTGTCCGTGCATTTACTAAGCTGGGAGCTAGGACAGTATATATTAATACCAAACATATATTATTCGACCAGCCGAAAGAAGCAAGGCTTTGGTGACCACGAACGCAATATTGATTTGAGAACAATTCGCATTTAATCATCATATCTTGGCTACTGACCATGGGATTGAAGGTTTGTGTTTATCCAGCATGTATTAAAAAAGCTAAGTTAGAAAATATGTTCATCTAAGCAGTGGCGGATTCAGGGTTAGGCAGAATAAATTACTACAGCTTAACATCGTAATAGCATTGGTAGATTTTTATTTAAAGATATTCTTTAGAAATCCGTGACCACTGAGCTATATAATAATTCCTGGAGGACCGGCCACTGAGCTATATAATAATTCCTGGAGGACCGGCTCCTAATGTTTTTTTCCACTGAGCTATATAATAATTCCTGGAGGACCGGCTCCTGTCAAAAAAGTGAAGCAAGAAACATGGCGGATTTTTTCGTGCTGACGCCAGATATGGGCCCAACTGGCCATGGCAATGACCACTGACAACCGCGATACAGTGCTTCAGGCGCACTCTTTCGCCCTCCGGCTGTTTTCAAAAAAATGTTTATATATTTTTTTAATTTTTCGGTATTTTTTAACCGAATCTTGACATTTTTCTTCTATTTTTTTACGTGAAGGAACAACTGCCTGTTTTTTTCAATTTGTGGATGCTGTTAGTCGCTAAAAGGGGGGATATTGACTCGCACTTGTAAGACTTACATTTGTTTTTAAATCTTCGTCGGTGGCATTTTCAACTACATCTTGCACTGAAATGCAATGTACATAAACATATATTTTTTCCGAGCTAGTTCACGCTTATAATAATGGATTGGAGTTTATTTGTGTATTTTAATTATTACGTAATTTCTAAGTGCAGTTGTTTAGCAATCATTTCAATTTTTTGTGCCAAAATGATATATTTCAAAATTTTGTTGCCAAATCCTTGCACTTGCCTAGGCATTTGTACCATTCCCTGTGTCCCTCAGTATGCATGTGTATCAAGCTGAAATTTTAAGCTGAAGTTTGATAATTTTGGCCAAGGCCATAACAAAGTTATATGAACTAGTATTTTACATGTAAGATTGTTTTTACTCTGTTAATAGTTCAGCTTTGGCTTTGGTCAGGTATTTTATTTTCACTCCTCAGTGGAAGAATGGCTGGTTTATATAATGTCAATTGTGGAAAAATAGAAACAAGAAATATCTGAGTTTGCCCACTTTTCCCATTTGCTGTCAAAACTATACACAACTTTGATCTGCATGGTATCATAGCTATATACACAGTGAAAATAATAATGTATTTACTGTCTGAACACAGACAATTTTGACTGTAGTTTTAATTGTATTGATATTTAAATTTGATGCAAAGCTTAAAATGAAAATGCTAAACCACAAGAATACAAAGCCATATAAATTATCTTATATCCATTTCTT